AGGAGGAAAAACTATAGAAAATGTGGATAAATTCGAATGTCTAGGAAGCCTATTAACGTGGGATAACAACTGCTCTTAAGAGATAAAAAAGAAGAATAGGAAAAGCAACTGTAGCAATGGCATCCTTAAAACGTATATGGAATGGCAAGAAACTAACAATAAAAAACAAATTAAGGATCCAGCAATGTGTGTCTTCAGTGTGCTACTATACGCCTCGGAAACATGGACCCTGAAAGAAGCCGACAAGTAAAAGCTACTGGCATTCGAAATGAAATGCTACCGAAGGGTACTAAGAATCAGCTGGACAGATATGATAAGAAACGAAGATATAAGGAAGAGAATATCGAAAAAGGAAACTATAATAGACATAGTTAAGAAGAGAAAATTAAGACTATTCGGCCATATCTGTACAATGAACGATAATAGACTAATCAAACACACAGTATTCGCAAAGATAGATGGAAAACCTCGAAGAGGTCGTTCATGTAGAGAATGGCTGGATGACATCAAAGACTGGTGCGGAAGCAGCGGACAAGACCTGTTCCACCAAGCGCAAGACCGACGGTTATGGAGGAAACGAATCCACAAAGTGGTTGGCCCCGACGGGCGATAAGCCTATGGGGCATCATGAATCATGAATAGAATTATATTGGAATGAGGAATAATTCTCATTTAAATAAAGTATAGAATAACTTCATGAAATATTATATGCAATTTATACAAAAATGGTTCAATCGCAAGCACGTAGCACAGTATAAATTCTGACTCTGAAAATGGTATACGTAAGCTCAACCTTCTAGCAACGCATTGAAGCAGTTAAAAGAATTTAAAGTTGTCTTATTTTTCTCTGGTCAATAAATGATTCAAAGAACGAGGGTGTGGATGTATCGCGAGATAATTAATCGAAACTCTTGTAAGTAATACACAACCAAGAATACTAATGAAAATTGAATCGGTTTTCTAATAATTTTATTGGCATAAATAATTTGCCGAACTCATCGAAATATAAAATAAATATTTTTATTATTATTTAAAAGCAAGCAAGAATGTTTTGGACAATACCAACTTCTAATAATTTATTCAATAATGTGTTTACAATAAAACAAGATAGCAATAATGCGCTGATAATAATAGGGTGTATATGGGCAAAATCATTTGTTAGCGACGTGATTTCGTAAAATTCAAATATCTATATCTCGAAATAGTGAACTTTTCTAGACTTGATTTTTATATATTATATGGATCTTAAATGACTCTAGATATCCTGCAGAAATCAGTACTAGGGAACTTTGTTAATAGGAGTTATCTGGAAAAAACAGTCGTTAGCGACGTGACCCAAAAAAGGACACGGATTTTCACTTTACGGACTTCAGTTTCAAAAAACTCCAAACTGCCACATAATTTTAGAAAACTAAATTCGATATCCAGTAGTCACCATCTCGGGCTACAACATGCGTATGCATATGTTTCCTTGAGCATGTCTAGATTTTTCTGTCAAATGTATGAATTTTTCGTTGGCGACGTAACAATTTTGTTAGCGACGTGATGAAATACGAATACACTACCGAAAAGATATCTCCATAATCGAACAAAAAGTTTGGGAAAGATTTCAAATTGTACAAATCCTAGCTCAGAGTCCAGGGATTATAATAACATAACAGGATTTGTTTTTACTCTTGATTGCTTATTTATAGAGCCAGTTTTTCGGAGGAAATTCTTTGGAATTCAATCTGGCTGAAAATTTTACCATAGATGCAGCTCGGACTCTGGAGTCTATTCTGAAATTTTCAGACTTTTTCTCATACCGTTTGCAAGAAAATCACTAACTACTTCTTGATTAATTAATAAATAGTCATGTGAAAGAGCGAAGAGTTTTACATAAGTCAATGATAAAATAAATTATTCAAAAAGAAAGCCTGTGTGGAGAATAAGAATCGAATGAAGGGGGTGCATGTCCCGTTTTGCCTGATTTTGCCCATATGTTTCTCAATACAAGTCAAATCTAACACTATTTACATTCTAATAAACTATTTCTTCGAACAACTCAAATTTTAACTACTCTCTGACTTATAATACTGCCCGTTTCTTCCAATATATCGTGAGCTTATATACTAGCGAAAGAGAAAAGGTACACAGAAAAATGACGTGCTACATTTAGTTTTCTTGATGTCCATCTGTTGGAATCCGAAGTATAAAATCGAAATGTAACAGCACACGAATATCAATTTGTTTCTAGATCAAATATATTGTACATTTACGCAAAAAATTGCTCAATACGTACTACTTATTTTCGAATCAGACTTATAGATATGATTAATGAAGCATTTACGAATGAAAATTTAATTCAAATAATTCCTTTTGTTGCTTATTTTCCTGAGGAAAATTATGATAGATCAGAAAAGTTTTTGGCAAAGTATTTCTTCATCAGCTTTAGTGTTGAGCTATTGTTGATATTGAATTATCAAATATATCTTCTTCTGGCAACATTAACTGAAAAACATCTAGCACTACTAGAAAGAACACCTGTTTTAACTT